TTCAGGCCCGGGCGGCGCGTACGCCCGGTACGGAACGGCCGCGGCGCCGCGCGGAAGCGCCCGTCGGTTTTTCGCCCGCAAACGCCGTGCGGCCGTAAACATTTCAAACGCGCGTCGAACGGCGCTCGCCGCACCGGTACTGTTCGAGACGTCGTTCGCCTTACCCTCCGAACCACCCTCCCCCAACCCCCCACACCCGGTGAAAAAGCTCACCGATTGCGCTGGCCGGACAACGACGCTGTTTTTTTTTTTGTTTTCATCCGAACGGCCCGCCGACAAACGTCGCGAAACCGCGCGCCGGCCAATAACGTTAGCGATGGTAACGGTCGGGTTGTTTATCGCGCGCGCGTATAATCGAATCGCAATAAACTATGTCCGTCAAATTTTTCGCTGTCGTTTTGGAATCGTTACTTTGCCGAATTGTTTTATGATCATTGTTCGAGACTTTTCCCACGGTCGATTAAGTTTCCTGCGTAATAGTAGTGGTTTTTTTTTTTCGTAAATCTTTTTATTTTCCTTTATGGTTTAATTCCCGGTTTGCTTGCACGCGAACTCTTTCGGCCAAGACTGCCGGTAGCCGCGGACGACTTCGAGGACCGAGGAACGGGATAACGGTAATCGTATCGCATTGTTGAGTGATGCGATATTATGGATTTAAGGTAAGCTCAGGTTAACCAACACGGTGGATTAGGCCTACTCGGGGACACCACTATAAATAAAAATAAACGCGCCTCGTGCAAAACCTCATATGCTTATCGAACAACGTCAGATTCTCGTAATATTTCATTGGCGTTTGTCGATAGCCAAGGTGGTGCGGAAAATTGCACACGGGTCATATTCGTATCTTTATTGAAACCATTCGATGAGATTCGATATTTTAAGCATTATATGTTTTCATTAATAATATTCGTTTAGTGTTTTACCGATTTTCCCGGTTCTCATATTTGACGAGCGAACTCCTGAGAAAATCGAAAAATGACCTACTTATAGTAGCTCCCTTATCCGATTTTAATTACAATTATACATTTAATTACCTACAACAGTTACTGCGCCCATCACCACCATCCTAGGACAGCTTTTTTCACACTGTTTTTCAATTTTTGTTGTTTTTGAACGACGGGTACTAAATTAAAAAGTGAAAGTGCCAAAACGCCCCCCAAGAGCCCACCTAATTGCGCCCATACCTAAAATGCGTATGTTACGCGAATGATTCTGATTTATTTATCGAGAAAAATGTGAACACCTCTATGTTTTTTAATCTTTTGACGATTTTTTGTATTTTATACATAATTAATACGGTATTAACGTGGCACGGTTTCGTTTGGTAGTAGAGGGAGGGGGGATAATTGAGTGAAACTTTTCCAAGTAAATAATATTTGAAAATATTATTAATCATATCAAATTATTATCAAATATTTTTTTTTTTATATTTTGAGCATACGTGTGCGATACCAGAAACTCTGCTCTAATCATCGACTTCTCGGACGGTTTGCGGTAGCAAACGCTGTCTAGAAAGTCGTTTCGCGATATTCCTGGTGCGGGAAACCTTTCGAAACACGGACACATTTTTTTTTTCGAAACTCTATTAGAAATAATCGTTAAGACACGGAATTTACGTCGAATATCAACTATCCATATTTAGACGTTACGGTACAATTTCCAAAACGTACTCCGGGCTCTCGGAATCATTGATATCGATTGGAAATTATTTACCGAAACGTGTTTCTAATCGAACTTTGTTCAAAAATAGTTTTTCGCCCAGCAATGATTAATTACATTTTTCGTAAGTATGGTGCGTTGTTATAAAGCGCGAGTTTTCATATCGATTCGTCCGAGTGAATATAACGAATAATGATAGTGACGCATGGCGTATAACGTACAATACGTGCGTAACATTTGTGGGTACCTATTAGTTTTTCATTATTAAATTGTAAACCGCATTATATACGAGCACGATATTATTGTAGCTGGTGTAGTTATCGACGATTGATGTGCAACGAAGGGAAAACGCGAACGAATAGACCGCAAATGCGTTTCATCGCGAGTACGCACGCAAATGCGCATTCTCGACTACCTATTATTTACATAAAATGCAAATCGCCATTAACATGTACATATATTAACAATATTTCGTTTTTATGACGGTAAAACTATTATGTCGATATTGCGCCGTGGACTCTGGTAAATTATTGTGTAGCGTTTCGGTGTACCAGGAGTGACCGAACTGCCAATATCCCGTTGAACATCGACGTCCTGACGAAAATCTATAATTATGATTTATCTCACAGCTGGTAGATATCAATTGTTGTTAATCAGTTGTTAGGTATTAATCGTAAACTTGCCCGGGGGCGGTTTGAGTACGCTGTTTTCGGCGCACCGCGCCACCGATATATTTTTAAATGCAATGTATCCGTACGTTTTATTGTTTTATGAATAAAAAGCAAAAAAAAAACAAAAAAAAAAGGAGGTAAGTGCAAAAATCATTGCGCAATCATCGTGTACAGTTAATATGAAAAGTGTTGACGACTTAACGGATGCTGCTAAAAACAATTAGGTGTATGAACATTTTTTTTTTTAAAAATTATTATTCTATTTGCTGTGAATACGGGGGCCGGGAGTGTCTATAATACACTGACTTGCACCGCCGAGTGGTCTAATTGGTAAATTCAAACCGCCTTTGCGCGTACAAATAATAGAACTAAAAAAACGTACAGTCAAATAGCGTTTTTCGTCACACCGAGCCATTAAGACTAATATTATTGGCCCGTGACATATCGTACGGTACGATGAGCTATACGGCTCGATGAATCGACAACAGAATAATGATAACATTGCGCAAAGACGAAAACTATCGGCGATTGCGCGATGCTTCATAAAAATTGAATTCCGACAAAAATGGAGATCGACGTCCGAATCGTCCGCCGCGGCCTACCGGTGGACCGTTCGACCGCCCACGCGGTATATTGTCGGTTTAAGTGGTCGGAATCGGGTGCTCGCGTTCATTGATCGGTCGAGTGTGCGAGATAATATATAGCCTACGAAAATAAATAAAAAAAAAGGAGCAAACAGATGTGAAAATAATAAAAACTTCGTGTATCGTAATATTTTTCCGTATCGCCGACACGGGTTTATCGCCGGCCACTGTTATGTACAACGGTACACAACAATAAAACGATAGGACTGCCCCCCCGAAATGTATTAACCGTCTCGGTTTCGTAACCGGACGTTAATATCGTAACGTTACGGGACCGCCGCTCTACACTCGGAACCGGCCGCTATTACGCTAATCAGTGCTAATAGTTTTTCTACCGGTTAACCGCTAATCTTTCCCTCGACTGTCGGACTCTTCCCAGTCGCCCCGTCACGCTCCCCCCTCCTTGATGGTATTTTTTCCCGCACAAAACCACGTGCTTTAATAGAAAATCGACATGTCCGATCATTATTTTTAGTGGATTTACAGCAAGCGAATCGTTACATTATACTGGGCACCCAAATGGACACGACTGTGTTACCGTGCGTTTTCGCGAAACACGTTCCAAAAATCGTTTGCGGTAAACCGTGTTCGATATAAATATGAAGTACCGTTACTTTAAACGGAGATTTAAAGGCGACATATTAAGAATTTTTTCGAGGGCGAAAGATTGGTTTTGTTTCTGAAATATTATCAAACAAAAAGAAATTCGGAAAACAAGACTATGTTGTTTGTATGTTTATACCTAACGATAAATCGTTGCCGACGAATTACGATTCTCGGTGGGGTTTGATTAAACGTGTTCTTTTTACGATTTTCGTGAAAATTTCTCATCTCATTGCCTACGTAAAATTCATTACAGCCGTTTTGTTTGAAAAAAGAAAAAAAAAAGAAAAAACGTTCGAAAGCCCCGGCGAAAAAGCCGTAGGGAGCCGAAACAACAAATTATGAAATACGTACACAAACGACGCGCTAAACGGTGCGGATAACCGACAGTCCAAAAAGTGGAGCGGGGTGAGGGGAGGGGCTGCAGGTCTCGCCGTTTGAGTTTTAATACAATATTATGATTGTTATTGTTCGCGTCTCGAAACCGCCGCGGCAATGTTCGAGTTGTACGGTTTAGCCGGGGAGGGGGTTTGGAGGGGGGGTGGTGATAGGGCGGGGTCGCGCCGCCGTCGGTGTAAAACGCGAATTACGGTTATACCGCGACTCGTAACCAACTTTTAACCGCGGAAACGCACTGGAGTTCCTGAAGTTTGCGCGTATATTACGCGCGGCCATTACTTTTGCCCGTGTGAAATAATTTCTTTCCGCACGCGAAACGACGTCCGCGCCTGCCGGTCGGGCGTGCGTTTTATCGCGTCGAAATTCCGGCGGGATAGTATCGATACAATGCGGGCGGGACGCGTAAGTGGTGGGGGCCCGAGAGTTTTTGTCGGCGGGATGCGAAACACGTCCGAAAAGTCGCGTTTATTGGATTTCTCCGGTATAACATAACACGGGAAACGCGTTCCCCATAACCCCCCCCCCACCCGCTGGATTTCAGTATCTGCTTCGCGCGCGTTTCGCACGAACACCGCGGTTTAGTGTGACGTTTTTCACGCGCGCCGGATATGTTCAACCGATTACTATAAAACCGTACGAAAACTCGGCATAACGTTCGAAATACGCGTTTAATAACAATAACGTTTCCACAGTGCGTTTCGGCATTGCCCGGGTTTCGAGACGGAACGGCGGTTCGTTTTCTAAAACGGTGACCGCTCCTCCTCCCCCCCCCCCCCCCACCCCGGACGGACGTAATCGATTCCGTCCGTATACCGTGAAACGCGTTCGGACTGGATCAATGTTATTCGGGACGCGTTACTCGAAAATTTTTTCACGCGTTTATGTAAAAAAAAACTGTACGGTCGGACGACATGGCGTTCCGACAGAGTTTTTAATTTTCTTTTGCCCGAACGTTCGGACCCCGACAACGCGATTCCCGACGTCCCGCGTCTCCGCTGAAAACGTTTAGCGACTCTCTACTCGGCTAACGTCGTGATAAGCGCTTACCTTGTGACGGCGCGTAGATGTTCAGGTACAGACAATCCTCGGACTGATTTCGCAAGTACGGCAGCAGCCGCTTGAGGTAGACCAGCCGGCCGATGGGCATGCGCTGCAGGGCGGCCGTCTCGTTGGACACGTCGGGCAGGCGCTGCGGGCACACGGGCCCCGGGGCGTCGGCCTGCCGCACGCCGTCCCAGGGCGACGGGGTGCGCGTGGGCCCGAACCGGTTGGACCCGATGGGCGGCGTGGCGTACGGCACCCCGAGGAACGTGTCGACGGTGACCGGAGTCGACGTCCGCGACGCGGGGCCGCCGCCGACACCGCCGACGGTCGCGTCCACGGTGCGCACGATGCCCTGCAGTTTGCCGTATCGGGTGGTCACGACCCGGGTGAGCGTGGCCGCGGACGCGGGTGGCGTCCACAGCACCGTCGTGTAGACGACGACCAGCAGCGCCACCGCCGCCGTGGTCGCGGTGGTCGCGCGGTGACCGTTCATTGACCGCGGGACCGGGCGCGCCGATCACCGGTGACGCGTCGATGGTCGCGTCACCGGCCGCTGGTCCGTTGGAACGTTGGAACGCAAATCAAAGGCGATGGTAAAAACGTTGTCGTCCTCACTGTTTTCGTCGTCCGATTGATCGTCGTTTTGATTGCCGCCCATGTTTGTGAACCAGCCCAGTAAGTGGGCGACGACTACTGTGAGTCCGAACATGGTCACCACGATCATGTAATCATTCGCGGTGAACGCGTACCTCGCTAGGCGGAATGACACGATCATTTGACCGCGGTTGTTTTTCGTGTACGGTACGGTCTCGCCGTAAAAAAAAAAACAAAACAAACCTTTACGTCAAACGGAACCTGCGAAAAAAAAAAAATTGGACATCAATGCAAAGCACCTTTTCGCTATAGTTATTTTATCAAAAAATCGTTAATGCGCGCGACTTAAATATACACGAGTGGCAGTGCTAATCAATGGAATTAGGAAAAAAATTAGCCGAAAATTCTAGTAGCTTTAATGCCCTGGTCAGTCGACGATGGCAAGCTTTTCGCCTATTTTTAACCTATTCACCTGTCCCATTCCTACCCAACCTGTAAATCTATTTAACTCTGTTACAGATTGCATAGTTCGATTTCGTTTAACCTGCGACCGTTTGCCTAATACGCGTATAATATTTACGTTTCAATAAGAATCGACTCTTTGACACATTCGAACGCAGAACGGTGCGAAAATTCACAATAAACGAAAAAATTAGAAATGTAAAATGCGTGTCCGTATATAGTAAATCGATAGCGCAAATGTGAAACGGGACCGGGAACGGTTGGTGAATATGGTGCGCGTACAACGGCATCAAAACAAACAATAAAAGTCAGTGGCGCGTAAGTAACAAACAATAATTTCTCATAAAGACTTTTTTTTTTCTTACGGGTGGCGACATTGATTTTAGGAAGGTTTTTGTTTGTTTACATTTTTTAGAATTGCATGGTTTGAATAGGATGTGCACCGTCCGGTTTATCTGATCTGTACTATTGGTTATATCCGAATTGACCGTTTCCGTTTGACCGAATCGGTAAAAAAAAGGCATTTTATCAGGGCGAGCCAGATTGGTCCCCGTATAAATTTGTGATGAATCCGCTACTGGTAGAATTAGTTCCCGCTGTTCACAGTAATATGGGCACGTTCCCCCGACCATCCACCCGTTCTTACAGGCTTAGGACTGTCAACTTGGAATTACTTAAATTTTACACTAGACACATTTCCGTGGGCATTTCGTATTCGGTATGTATTATAGCCGTACAGATAAGTATATCCAGATGGATTGACGTTGTGTCTTGATCGATTGCGGTGTTTTGGCAATACGACGATACAATATTATTTTATTACCTTGATAAATGTGAAATATCCGCCGTAGAATGATAAAAGGTTAAACGCGTACTACATTATACCTACATATATTATTGCGAAAAATCGCGACTTGTTCTAAAACGCGCATTGATATAGCGCGTTAAATAAATGGGAAACAACGATTTTACGTATCCCACGCGAAAAACAGAGACTTTGTGCTGGTTTTTTTTTTTTTTTTTTGTTTGGTGTAACTAATTTATTTTTTACAACTCGATGACTCCGCGACATTCTGTCCGCACTCATTCGCGAATCATGGTTGACCGGTTGACCGGTTTATGCTAAACTCCACGACGTTTATAAGACCGCGGAAAACCGACAATCTCGAATGACCGAGCGCGAGAATAATGCGACGGGGTCCGTCCGACGACAAATACAAATTTGATAAAATAATGTAACCGCAAATATTGTCCAATAACAACACGATTTCAATTGAATTGATATCGGGCAAATGTTGTACCGAAAACACACTACCGTACAGCTTGTCGGACTATAATTGCACAAATATTAGAAGAGTGCACATTTAAAAAAAACAAATCAAACAGTGGTATTCATGAGCCTCGACACTTGTGGAACTAAAGTCTACGCGATTTAGTATTTACTATATTCGTTTCGTTGTGTCGGTAGTGCGGCCCCGTCACGAGACGAGATTTTAACAGTGAATCGATGATTTCATTTTACATTAAATGTATGCGCGCGATATATCTGCCGACAAATTTATGCTTTTTTTTGTTATTTTTAAATGTTATGGTTAGAAATCATACGTCTAGAACGGAAAGAGCAGACGCGATCCGTAGAATGAGGAATCGTCTTAATACATTAAACGAGGACGGGAACATTTTAATGTTCCTTCAAAGAGCAGGCCATAGGTCGCCTGATAGATTAATGATTTTATTGTATATTGACAAATTATTTATTTAATATTTACATTTTATGACAATTGAATTTTTTATGTTTTTTTTTTTTTTTCAACAATACCATTAGATTTTTCAATATTTATATAATAACACGGTTTATAAGTTGGATTTTGGATTCGTCTGGTAGCGATGAATTTATCGGTTTTCCAATGATTATGGGTGTTTTGTTGTCAATAAACATAATTTAAAAATAACTCTATAACTCCTTGCCTATGGAAAATGCTTTCAAATGTTTCAAATGATTTAAAAATAAAAATATTTTTAGCTTTGTTATTTGTAGGTTGTATTATTGACATGTTGCACGCGCGGTTTTATTAGAACGGTGTAGTCTAAAATAGTATAATATCGGTTTATGGATTCATCGATCGAACAATGATTATCAAGAACTAAATAATTTTGTTTTTACAATTAGCCCCTCTGTCTTTCGGGGTAAAAATTGGTCGTTACCACTAATCAGGGAACGGCCCCCGGCCGAAGAATAATACTGCGGATATATCCGGATTGGTTTCCGCGCTCATACTCGACGTGCCCAATGAGTTCCCGTTTGAAAAAGTTATTATATGAAGGCGAGCCGAATTCGTTCGCGTTTAATGCCTACAATTCTACAATGACGTTTTAAGTCACGTCGCACATTACAGCGGCTCCTAAACTTTAATGCACCTTTAAAATGTGCCATGTAATAAATGCCATTTCACTCATATTATATTTCGTTTACAGAATCTTTTGACAGACAAGCTCAGTTGCCGAAAACGATTTACACCAACAATGCACGGTAATATTTAATTCGCTTTTTATTTCATTGATAAAAAGAAAAAGACCAGCAGAATTTCGAACATTATAGTATAAATATTATGTTTAATAATACAGAACAACACTTACAATATTATTGGAGTACTTAATTTATGGGAAAGTGTTGAAACGCTGGTCTTTTGTTTTCAATTTCGATTATATTTGTTGTACCGAAAAGTTCCGAAACATTGAATTAACACCTTTTTCACGCACGCTCGCGAATTAATTCTTCAGATTGTTCAGATTGTTCAAAAGTTTAGAAACAAATGCCGCCAAAGATATAGGTTGATAGGTACGTACGTTTTTATGTTTTTGTTCGTCGTTCACCGTTCATAACGAATACCGCTAGTTCATTAAAAATATATTGTTCTGAATACTCTAAACTGTTAAGATATAACTCACGTGGAGGAAAGAAACGAAAGGAATAAAAAAAAAAAAAAAAAAAAAAAAAAAAAAACAGAATGGCTTTGTACATGATCGAGGTTTGACAATTTCGTTTCGAGTTTCGATCATTGTCGCCGATCGCTGATCGAATGCTAAAAATCAAAGGCGTTTGAAATTCGCCGGTCATTAACACCCGCATAAACTGACAATTTTAAACTGCCGTGTATGAGCCCATTTAAGGTGATCAGTGATTATAAGATTTGTAAAAAAACATTTATGGCTCTAGGCGAAAATCGCTTTGAATTTTTTTTGTTTCGTATTTTCCAGTAGGCGCTATCGTCGAGGCAAAGTATAATTTCCCATACATTAACGGCCGTACAAAAACTGTGTTGTGTTACGTTCTGTGTTTTAGTACAACGGCGATTGGAATAGAAACGGACAAAGTGCGTAGGAAGGTATCCACGCGGAAACAAACCATATCGGCTGTTTCGATAACCGGTAAGGTTTTTCTTCTGGTTTACCATACGCTTGTTTCCTATCTCGAGGGCGCTAATTGTACGTTATCCGTAGACATTTTTTTTTTTTTTTTTTCCGAAAACCGCCGTCGTTTTTTCTGCCTCTGTTATACCATGTCGGTGATTCGAAAACACGAGCCGCGTGCAGGGGATTTCTCCGAAATTTTAAAAACTAAAAATTATTCAAATTCCCTTTCAGATACATTTACAAGTAATCCCTTATCATTAACACAAGTAGGTTTTTATTGTATAAACCGCGAAAGTAACACGTAATGTCTACGGGAAACCGTTTCGCGCTCTCGAAACGTACTCGAACTGTGGACTCGGTAATGGAACCGAATTTTCACCGCGATACAAAGAAAACATTCAATGTGCGACGTCGTTTTTCTTTTTTTTTTTTTTGATTTTCGATATAACTGTCACGACACGAGTTAGTCGAATTTGAATAACTGAAATTGACAAATGTTTACACTACAATGTTTGACCTTGTTCGTGTTCATTTTGTAAGATCGAAAAAACCAAACCAACGTCACACGATATTATCAAGTTTGCTCTTTCGCCAATCAGATTTCTTACCGAAGTCGGTTTTTACATTCGAATTGCCGACATGCCCTCGTAGGTCGCGGATAACGTAGGAAAACCGTATCCGTTGTATCGGTAGTACGAAATTGAGCCGGCGACCTATTTCCGTGACCTCTCCGCCGACACGATTGAGCACGGTTCCGGTCATTTTACAGCCGGAATCTATCGCATTCCTATCGGGGCCTTTTCCCTTTGTTTAATATAAATCCGTAGTGGTTTTCCGTCGACTACGTTTCGGGTTTACTCCTAAAGACGATAGCCGCCCGGAAACGGTAATCTCGAAATGGTTTTACGTCCGATCCGTTATTTCATTATCTACGGGCGGGTCCACGCGTACTGCGATTGGACATCGTCACCGATACCGCCGGCGCTTCGGTGATGGGGCACGGTCGGTGGGGACGCGCGAACA